ATCGTGCCGTCAGATCAGGAAATGCTGCCTTAAGTGGAAAAGTTGGTGTCAATAAAAGCAAATTGCAACAGCATCAAATTTGAGTTATATTTGGATGGAAACTTGGCTATTTGTCCAATATATTTCCCCTAAAACACACAGGCTAAGTTTGCTACAAAGCCTAAGCTGATTGCTTGTAATTAGGCCCTAAAGACCTTTGCCTTCAGAGCAGAAACACATTTCCCATCTCATGTCTTTCAATGGAGTGTTTTATTACCCGGCAACATTTCCCACAGGTCTAAATAAAGTAGGAGTCTAAATTGTTTTTTTACTCATCTCTTTATTTTCTCCTAGAATGTCCTAGTGTAATTCAGATCTACTTCATTACGGTACAGTTCATTACGTTCAATTTGTAACTCCTTTCTTGGTTCGGGAAGCTGTTTCTTATCTGGCTATCTCTGTCATCATCACCGGCAGAAGCAACATTGTTTGTGTTGGCATTGTACAGTATAATTTTTTTTTTACAAGTAAACTGTGACTTTCTCTTTCTTTGCTCAATGCTACCCACATACTCCTTTGTCAATAACAAATGACCTAACCATGGAAAAAACAAGTTATGATGAAAAGAATTTGAATAAGTCCCTCTGTTTGAAAGGAACGCCTCAAGGACACAGTAGATATATTGAAGCAGAATTAGAGCTTGTGAACTGCATTTGTTGGCAGTATCGACACTGATTATCTAAACAAAAGTTCACGCATGACGTGCATTATTGCAATAGTTGAATTTCAACTTGCTGGGATCCATATTACAGTGTGCAGCAGAGCCAGCCGACCCAGAACTTTCTTGGCAGTCTGAGAGAAATGCTGGCAGTATAGAGCTCAGGGCGAAGACATCAATCACATCGCCGCCCTGGACCCACCGAGAACTGACAGTGTCAATGGTACTAGCATGGCCACTATCAATCACTCCCTTCAATGCAATACACTCTTTACAGTTATGAAAATCTAGTGAATGCATGCTTGTTCAGAAAAATGTGTCTGTTTTAGAAGTGAGCTCCAAACCAAGCTGGAACGTCAAGACAAAATATTTGAAGGTCGTAATAACTTGAATTTATCAAGTCATTACCGCTGTCCAGCTGTAACACAAGCCTCAAAACTCTGCTGCACCAATGAGAGGGTGGCTCCGTCCTTAGGGAACTCCAGGATTTCCATGTGGTCGATTATGGAGAACAATGGGCAACTTATCATGTGTTAGCACATACACATATATCAAGAGTATACGTGTGTGTCTGAGTGTCACCTTAGATCACAGATAACATCAGACCTGAAGGACCTATTGCTTAAACTAAATCTGAATATTAGAGATGTGCAAGCTGCCTTCTTTTCTGGCCCGATTATTAGCAATAGACACAAACCAAGGTTCTGGTTTACCACTATTAACCAGTTTTGTGACTGAGGTCCAATTTTCTCCTGCCTGTTGTACCATCCGTCCCATTCAGCTATCCGAATTTACTGTCTGAATTTGCTCCTATGTCTCCCTGCAGATCCTTTTAAACGCAGAAAAGCCATGTGTCCTTCCCCTAGTCCCTGACTATTTTAAAATTGCCAGTAATCCATCCCAGTTAGATAATTACACACCAATCTCCAAGCTACTCTTTTAATCTAAAATCCTTGAAATTGGTACGCACCAGCTCCTGAAGCTGGAGGAGGCTTTTGCCACAAGCGTAGCACTGAGACTGCATTACTAAGAGTGTCGAATGACATTCTTATGAATGCAGACAAAGGTAAATATCCCATTCTTAAACAGGTTTCAGTCCTATGTGACAAATTGGTAATTTAATGCTTGCATCAGTAACCATGTGTTCTCCTCTGTTCCCCTGCTTTGTGGTGTCAGTTCTTGGTCCTGTTCTCTTTGCGTTGTACATGCTTACTCTGGGTCATTTGTTTAGCCGCTTTCAAGATGTGTCATATCACTGATATGTTGATGATACACAGATCTACTTCTCTGCAAAACTCAATAACCTGCATCAACTTTGATCCCTCCATCACTGCTTAGCTGCCACCAAACTTAAAAAATATATGAAATATAATAAATATTAGATATTTATTATATTTCATATATTTATACAACACCCAGCAATGTATAATTTCTTTGCACCCCCTTTCGAATGCAACATTCAAATTACTAGACAAAAAATTATATCCTGAGAAAAGTGGATTTTGAGGGTATAGCTCCATAGACCGCCATTCATTCTGCACTCATCATGTGAGCGCCCTCATATGGAACCAGAGTAGAACTGCAACAGTTCAGAAGCTGGAAGTATACAGAGAGTGGAACTTCTCCCCTTATTAGACATTCCCTGCCTAAATGACGTTATCTTCCCGGTTCTAGTGCAGCTCAACGACCTGACTCAGCTGATGAGCCGCTACAGTTTGTTCGCTCGGAAGTTTTCTGCTCTTTCTAACAGCAACACACAAACATATTACTTACTGAGCATGTTTAACAAAATACGGACGAACATAAAGCCAATTTCCCCCGGTCACAAAACCCACAACAGTTACGGAGTTCCCCCCCGACACGAAGCTTGGTAATTCACTGCATAAACTTTGTGTGAATTTCTATAAAAATATCAGCAGAGAAAAATATGGCGACATCTGCACCAGCTGGCCTAATAAATTAACCTCGCCTTATAAGTTTCATGTTCATCTTGCACACATTTAACAAACATTTAACAAACATTTAACAAACAATAACTACATTAGCATCGCTGAGGCTCCGGCAGCTGTTAGCATGTGCTAGCGTTACACGAACAATGAAAAGCATAAATTATTAAAAATACTCAGTTACTTCCTCTGCCGTCTCTCTGGTTTTTTTCCGACTCTAGCCGGACATTGCCGTCAAAATAAAAATAAATGCACTGTGCTCATACATATGTAGAGATTAGTGTTGGGCTGTGCAGCCAATGACTGAACAGTTTGCCTGCTGAAGCCTTTGTGCAGACATTGGGCTGCAGGCTGCAGGCTGGGCTCGCTTGCTTGTTCTCTGCTAGCCTGCTCTTTTATAGGCACAATGGCGGAGCTCCGCTAGTCAACAAGGAAGTAAACTTCCTGGCAGGGTGGCAACATTCGCAGTGAAAGGTCGCAAACACAAACTGTGACGTCACAGTTAGTGCGAAGTCTACACTGCGTGTTTTATCTCCTGTATTCTGACTGAGGCAGCCCACAAAAACATGACTGAGTCATCTTTTTTCACACTTTGCCTGCTTTGTCCCAAATGTACATAATCAAATGATTAAAAAGTTGGTTTTGCATAATATGTCCCCTTTAAAATAATAAATTGCAAACACTTGGATGAAAATGGGAAGCTAGCATGCTAGCTTACTTGAAACAAACATCCACCCTGAAACACACAGTCTGTTGGGGTTGTTCAACATCATGTTGAATAAAATCTAAAGCACCCTTAACACTACAAAAGTCACATTGTAATCCTTGTTCAGGTTTACTGAGCTGAGTTGAATACTTCAAATTTTACACACTCCACTTTGTGTTTTAAATGGTTATTATCTCACTTACTTATCCTGCTAATGATACTTTAATTAACTGCAGGGTTAACAAGTGTTTGGAACTTCTTGTGTGCTGCTAACCATTACAAGCATTAAGAAACTGCCTGAGCAGACTCTTAACTGATACTTGGTGGTACCATATATATAGTTTGTCTTGAAATAACATGGTGGTCTCCCATCAAGGTCACCTCTGTATCAGCGTGAAAATAAAATGCATACAGCGTGATAACATCTGTTGTTTGTAAAATCTGGCACAAATGAAAATGACTTGGAGCATCATGCAGATAAAGCTGCAGAGCAGACCATGTGGCTTCTCAAGCATCTTTTCCTGTTAGTCTTCAGCAGCTCTTAGTGGTCGTAGTTAAGGATTGCAAGGCGCTGCACAGCAGTGCAGGCTTAAGTCTAGAATTTGAATACAAATGTAATCACCTTCTCAGTGTGTTTGTACAGTCGTGCATTTGTGACAACATAAGCAGAAATTACCATTGCATCCTGTGATATTGGCATTAACTGCATATGATATTGGGGGAAATATACAATGTTGAGTGGAGTGACTGTTCTCCAGAGGACTCCCATTGCCCAAGGCTTTTTATTTAATGGGGAAACACATCCATGACAACTACAGTATTGTCTCTAAAATCAATGCTACAACAATAATACCTGCCAGTCTAATTTTCTTTAACTGAAGGATGTAGCCATAATAATTTAATCTGACATTCCCCTATGTTGTGTATTTCACCCCAAATTGACCAAACACTTCATCATATATAAATCATCACCGCACGCTCTGCAGTTAAAGCTTGGCAGTTGCTAAGATCTTAGTTTGTATCCTATAAATGATTCAGTGGCTCCATCATAGTTTCATCTCACGGTTTTAACAAGAGGATACTGAGCACTGGAGGAGGAGAGGATTATGGGTTGGTAAGGTGAAAGGTGGTGTTGTGAAAAGACTGAATGTTTTGATTGTGCTTATGCTAAACATATTTAATTAGAGATTGGATCTTGACTCAGTGGAAAATCCCCTGCAGTTCAGTAAATAAACGCAGATGACATAAACAATGTAAGAGGTGAGGTTTGTTGGCCAAGCAAAGTGGAGTGAGGCCTCTTGCATAATTCCTGATGTGTTTGTTGTTTTGGTGGAGAGTAACAGTTTGTTGCAGTGTGTGATATTACCAAATGTGGTCATAGCTCAGGTTGGTTGTCATTCATATTACACTGTCAGATTATATAAGAAACAGCCTAATCGGATCCATGCTGAGGGAGGACTGGAGGAGGGTTGCGAGGTCAGAAGGTTTCTTTAAGTCTCTCTGACATTATTCATGGAATTTCTCTCCTCTCACACACTAATAAATGGTTCCTGAGGAAGTAACAGTCATTTCCTGGTCGGCCAAGCAGCCCAAGGGGTGATAAGACAAGGGACACCCTTTTACCACAACCACAGCCTGAAACACTGCCATACTCTCCACCTCTCCCTTCCTATGTCCCTCCCCTGTCCTTTCGACTGCCCCTCTGGCGCTCTGTTTCTTCGGCCCTCTGTATTTTAATCTTACAGTAGGTGAACCACCATTACTCAGGATGGACTCCAGACCCCCCAACCTGCTGCTGCTGCTTCTTACCAGCCTCCTATACTTCTGTAAGGACCCACTGTTGTGCTGCTTCAGGGATAAAGGATGTTCCTTCAGTTAAACCAAATCTCCTGACTCTAACTTTTTTTTTTGGTCCCTTTTCTCTGCTTTTCTCCAAACACAGGGCAATGTGCCAGAGTACAGGCATGTAAGTATAACTACATTACACTGACTGTTGTTTAATAATCGGTCTAGGGTTGTAGTTTCTGCAGAAATGAGACAGTTTCAGGTTATCCAGTCCTTGCTGTATTAGACAAAAGCTATTTTTACCTCACACAGTTATTTATTGCAGGAAATGGGCATTGTACCATGCACTCCTGGCCTCCTTGATTTCTTTAGTCTTTAGTGAGATTCTTTCAAGATATTTTTGGTTGTCACAGGTGAAGCTGGGTAATCTTTTAAATCAGCATGAGTTTGGATGAAGTTCCCAAATTTTGAATAGCTTTCATGATTGTGAATGAAAATGTTAATTTATTGTTGTTTTCCTTCTTGGGTTAGGGTTAGGGTTAGTGTTGTGTCAGTGTTTATCTGCAGCTGTCTGAGAGGAATTATTTGACATTTTGAGAAACACGCGTCTTGCCAAGCGTTAAATGAGGGATTGACACCACTCTCATGTCAGCTCAATAGGACTACAGCCAGTAGCTGCTTAGCATGAAGACTGGAAAGAAGGGGCGGGGGATCCAAAGATAAGTAAATCTGCCTACCAGCACTGCTAAAGCTCACAATTAACCTGAAGTCTGGTGTGTTTTCTTTGATGTGGAACCAGTGGTTTAATCTTAACCCTTTTTTCAGAGCTTTGAAAACTCTGGTAAAAGGCTAGCACATTGACTTTGAATTAAGATTATTTTGTCAAACTCCCATTTTCAAGGTCAAGAATAAACTCCCCCACTCTACATACAGTGTGTACTATTTGTACAGTGCCTGAGTTAGCACAGTCATTCACTTCCTCAGTCACCTCACTGAGCCCGAACTAACAGCAGTACTTTGAGGATGTGGACTAAGTGATTCTTTTGTAGCTGTTGAGGCAGGTTACACTGTACTGTTGTTGTTGAAGAAGAGCAGAAGTTGGGATAAATCAACACAGCTCTCCCAGGGGGGGCGAGGAGGGTCAGATGCTGTTTGTTGAAGCTTTTTCCTTCCTTCAGCTCCTGCTTACTCTGCAGTAGACTGGTGGCCAGGGAGCGCCTTCCTTCAGACTTTACCTTTATTGCGGAGAGAATAACAGACCCTGATTGTTGTATTAGATAGATAGATAGATAGATAGATAGATAGATAGATAGATAGATAGATAGACGTAGTAATCAATTAAAAACAAACAAACAATAAATTAATAAATAAATAAATGAGATGATGAATAAAAGTGCCAATAAAAGAGAGAGGGGGATGCAACAGCCAGATCCTGATCATGAGCCCCTGCCACTGGCTGTATTACTGGCTCAGTCCATGATAAACGAGACATGCAGTCCTAATGATATTATTTCTTTCTAATGCATGTGCATGTTTGTGTGTTTGTGTGATATTTGGATCTACAGCCTACACTATAGATAACGTTGGCCTTACAGTCCAACCTAGCAGCACAGTTGAGAGCGGGACACCGGTGACCCTACGCTGCCAGGTCAGGGTCAGTCATGACAACATCCCTCACCTGACACATACTTTCCAGCTCACACAGGACGACGTTCTTGTCAGCTCCTCTACCACCACAGAAGACTCAGTCGTATATAAGCTCAGCCCAGCCAGGGCAGCTGACTCTGGAAGTTATCAATGTCGGGTCACTGTCAAGGAAAAGAGCAAAGCCAGCGAGAGCAAAAAGCTCGACGTCACAGGTAAAGCTGGAGATTACATATTGGTACAGCACATTTCACAAACCAAAGTGTATTTGCTTTAAAATGGTTAGTTTTGTTTTCTTATTTTTGCTTTTGTCTGACATAGGTAGTATAACATCAAAATATAATAATATACCTGAAATTCCTCCATACATCAACACGGTTGGAGGGAAAAAGTCAACATAAATGAGTTGGACAAAACCAGTTGTGTTTTATTTCCAACTGATTATTCACATTACTGACAACCATTTTCCACAGCACAACAGAAGCTTAGAGAAGATGTTAGACTGATTTCCTGCCTTCTAGAGGAGTGGTTCTCAGTATAGGGTCCAGGGACCCCTGGGGGGACCATAAGTGGGTTCCAAGCATAATGGGGAATATTTTCATTTCTCTATAATTTATATATATAGTATAATTTTGGCTAAAAGTATGTGAAATTAGAGAATGCATAAAATTGACTATTCTGTTCAGGGTTTGCACACTCTTCACTGTTAATCTGCCAATCTACAGCATAGACAGTTGTGGAATAATGGGGACTACGGTGGCGGACGAGGGCAAACGCACCACAAACGGGCAAACACGCCGCAAACGGCAAAACGCTGCACACGTGGGAATGATGCAAAACCAAAAACTTACAAACCCACAAAACAAATGCCAAAGAAAAATGCTGCAAAAACCAAAAACACACAAAACAACAAAACAACTGCCAGATACAAACGCTGCAAATTCGCTCCACAAAACGGAAGTGCGCCAGGCCACTAGGGGGACAAGAAAGTTGGCTAAGTTTTGGAGAGGAGAGTAAAAAGGTACGTTTTATTTTATGTCTTTTTTAAACACTCGGCCGTAATCTTTTATAATATTAGATTATAATAATTCTTCATTATTATTTCATTTATAATAATATTATTTAATCTTCTTTATTATTATAATATTCTTCTATAACATTATTATAATATTATAATATTATAAATGATTACGGCCAAGTGTTTAAAAAAGACATAAAAGAAAACGTACCTTTTTACTGTCCTCTCCAAAACTTAGCCAACTTTCTTCTTCTTCTTCTTCTTCTTCTTCTTCTTCTTCATGTCTTTCGGATCTGGTCCCACAGGACTGGTCCATCCCTCAGGTCGGGTACCCCTTGTGGCCTGGCGCACTTCCGTTTTGTCGAGCGACTTTGCAGCGTTTCTCTCTTGGAGTTGTTTTGTTGTTTTGTGTGTTTTTGGTATTTGCAGCATTTTTCTTTGACATTTGTTTTGTGGGTTTGTAAGTTTGTGCTTCTGCTTCATTTCTGTGATTGCAGCATTTTTCTGTTGCTGCGTTTTTCTGTTGCATTTGTTTTTATGTGTTATGTGTTTGTGTGTTTTTGGTTTTGCATCATTCGTTGCATCAACGTTTGCCCGTTTGCGGTGCGTTTGCCCTTGTCGGCCACCATAGGGGACCCCCTAGACTACATCTATGGGTCCATAGCCTGTTTCAATTTTAGGGGACACTTAAAACTTTAGTAAGATATCAATCACAGTAAACATTCTGATTGTGTTATTGGTTTGTAAAAGTTGTGCCGCAAAAAATGCCACGATTTGTAAAATACTGCCTTGGTGTTGTTGCCTTCTAGGAATGTCTAACATTAGACATTTGATAGGGAGCTGCTGAAAAGAACAAACAATACACAAAAGATTCTGACTTAAAGCAAAATTTGGAAAATTATTATTAGGAATGTAAATATACACAAGCTATATATAGTTAACAAGCTAAAACAAGATAAGGCACTTCAAATCCTCATCGTCTGTATATCATACAGACGATGACGTTCTTTGGTCCCTAAACTGAAACATTCATCATCAAGCTAGAAACCACACTGTTTTCCTCTCCTCAGGCCTGCAGACCCCCATTCTGTATCTGAATAAGACTACACCCTATCAGAGTGAGGAGTTCACAGCTACTTGCAGTGCTCCGGGGGAGAAAGGAGCCCTCGTCTTCCAGTTCCACCAGAGATTTAGAGGAGGAAATCCTGAGAAGATAAAGCAAGCAGCGTCCACTGGGAACTCATCAGAGACCACACTGGTCCTGAGCAGACTTGGAAACAGCATCCTGTACTGTGACTATGAAGTCGGTTTGGTTTCTGGGGTCAGACGCTCCAACCGCAGCAACGAGATTTCAGTGTTAGTCAAAGGTGATTAGATCAAGAGCTGTTGTATCACAAGAAAATATCAAATTGTCAGGCACGTGGTTGATTATTCTGAGTTGTGTCTTGCAGCACTCCACATTACCCCGATCATGAATATATTGCCTTCCTCAAATGTGTCTGAGGGTGACATAATAGAGGTGGTATGTAGAGTGGTGAGTGATCTCAAGAACATTGAAGTATTCCTGACGAGGGACAGGAGGATCCTCAAGCAAGCCTTAGTCAGCCTCAGTCATCGATTCACTACAAAAGAAGGAGACTCTGGGGAGCTTGTGTGCAAGGCAGAATGGGGCAACGTGCAGCAAAAATCCAATCAAACAATTCGTGTCAAAGGCAAGACCTGGAAATCCTCTTTCTTCTGAAACGTTTAATATTACTCTAAGTACCCTCTCATCTGAAGTCTATTCTCGAAGATAAAAAATGTGCCAGATATACATTGTATGTAATGTTTGATTTTTGCTCTCTCACTCCAACAGAATTGTTTTCAAAGCCACACCTGACTGTGTCGCCCACAGACATATTTGAGGGACACACCTTCGAACTGACCTGCTCTGTATCCAGTTATGATCCTCAGAAGATCGAAAATGACACCATGCTGTTCTCCATCTACAAAGACGGCGTTGAACTTAAGAATGGAACTAATTACCATGCTAGAGCAGGGCCTTCTGCAAATGGCAACTACAGCTGTAAAGTCAAGGCTCATTCTCTTGATTATCACAATTTTTCAAAAGACAGCAAATCAGTTGTTGTTGAAGCAAAAGGTGAGTCATCAAAAGAACTATATTGCAATTAACTGGATGTTTTTAGGCAGGCAGCAGGACTTCCTTTGCTAGCAGCAAGGCTCGTGGGGCTGTCAGGCAGTCAGTCAGTCAGGCCACTACCGTGGACCAGACTCAAAATGTTCCCATAATATTAATCCTAATGACATTTACACCGCCCTGACTTATCATCTAATGCCACCATAAGACTGATTATCTTTATACCTATTGAACTGATTACTTGGTTCCGACATTCACAGGGACTCCAGGGGGTCCGTAGTTATCACTTTGATGATCCCATAACTTGCCCAATATTTTAGTGTCCGACTTTCCCATCAGCCTCACCTGTATTCTGTGTTTAGTGCTAATTAGCCAACATTATACCTGCTAAACATCAACATGTTAGACAGTTTTCACAGCAGCCATTTTCACATGAAATAGTAGGGTAAACACAGGTGTTGCCTTCAGGTCAGTCAGGTGTTCCTTTTAGCTCAAAGCACCACTCTGCCTATACAGCCTCATAGAGTTGCTAGCATGACTGTAAACTCTTATTTATATATATTTAAAATGTTTACTTTTGTTTATCTGTATCTTGTTCTGTTGTGCTGACTAACTTGTGAATTATCTTATTCCCAGTTCCTGTTTCAGAGCCCATGCTGAGCGTGGTGGGGGGTACACTGGTGCTGGAAAAGCCCTTCCAGCTCATCTGTCACAGTGACAGGGGCACTCTGCCCATCGTTTACACCCTGTACGCCCCTAAAAGGCCGGCTGAGTCCAGGAAGGTGAGCAAGCCGTGGGAGCAGGCCATCTTTAACTCCTCAGCCATCTACAAGAATTCAGACTTAAAGAAGTTTCTTTGCCACGCGAGAAACAGTTTAAATGAGCCTCCGATGACATCAGGACAGCAGCTGCTAGATTCTACCATTATCATAGGTATGTTGGACGAAGAAAAAACAGGGACGCATTCAAACAAGTTGATGTTAACTTGGTCTAACGTAATTTTCTATGCAGAGCCTGTGTCAAAGCCAGTGTTGAGAGATGTCTCTGATGGGCAGGACGTGAACCTTGTCTGCTCTGTTCAGAAAGGCACTCCTCCCATCACCTTCACCTGGTACCACACAAAGAAAGCAGGCGCTCTTGACTTCCAGACCACCAAGAAACTGGAAGGATCCTACAGGATCAGCCATGTCAAAGGAGAGCACAAAGGAGAATACTACTGTGAGAGCACCAACCTAGCCAACAAAACCAAAATGAGTGATACCATCAGCATCGGAGGTCAGTGTTGTCTTCAGTGAATAGCAGTGGTGATGGGTGCGCGTTCTTGCCTGTCTATTTTTGTGAGGATCAATCAGAGTTTTAGAGAGTTAGGATGTCTTTTGATTTGAGTTTTGACAGGTTTGTCAATCTGAAGGCAAATGTTGTTTTTGAAGGATTTAATCTTGTTATAAAACCCATAAGGGTACACAGATTGTTTTTGACTCAGCATTTATTGGAATAATAGACCATCTAGAACATAAATAATTGAGTTAGTCTGAAGTACAGATCCTGTGGCATTTTTTTACATAAAAAATCTAAAATAAAATAATTAATATTTTAATTTAAAATGGGTGCTGGATTAATTCGCATTTTTGGCATCCGACTAACGCTCTCATCGTTGCTTTGAGCTGAGGTGTGGAATGACTGAACTGACATGATTATAAAATTAAATGATTATTTATGTTTCCCCAGCAGTGAAAGGTAAACTGCAGTAACCAGAAAAGTGAGAACATTTTGAATGCTCTGTATAATTAAATTATAATTCACACCCATCTGTATATTTCATTCTATTGTACAGTAAAGCTAGCTGGCTGGAAGAAAGGTCTTATTGCAGCCTTCTGCATCCTGGTCATACTGGCACTGATCCTTGTTATCATCTTTAAAAGACGTCTCCTAGGATTTAAGAGGAAAACAACTGCCGAGCTGTCAGTGTAAGTAATATTTTTTAATGTTCTTCATCTGTGTTTCGAAGGTAATGTGCGCAAGTAGTATGGTGACGCCCATACGGTTTCCTGTTTTAAAAAACTGATTGTGTTTTGTGTCTACCTCATCTTAGGAAGACAGCCAGCACCAATGTGGAGCGACTGAGCCTCACCCAGGCTGTCAATGGTAAAGTCTATAATACTAACACAAATACTCAGTTACAAATTCTACTTCAGAGCAAAATATGCATTAAGAAATTAATTAAAAAATGTTCTCTTTGTTTACTGTTCATTGTAAAGCATTAAAGTAGCAGTGCCGTAGATTGTACCAATTCCACAACTGAGAGTCTTTTTGGCCTTTCTGTGTAGTTACTCCAGGCATGATAGGAAAGAGTGTTTGGAGTGATTACGTATCAGGCTCTGGTGAGTAGAGTGTATGGACAGTGTTTAACTTTATTCACATTTTATTAAAAGATGAGGGTGGTGTTACTTTGCATTTTTCTTATTGTCAACAAATCCTATGAAAAGACCAAAACCAATATTGTGTGAGTCCACCTTTGAACACTCTCTGATTTCCCTATCCTGTCTGTGATCCTACCCTACCCTACTGGTTCCTACTGAAGACATAAAAGTACATATTTTAAAAAGTTTAAGTCATTTCCTATTACAGCTGGTTACTGTAGTTTTTAGAATTTGTCGGGAACTATTTTCTGCTGCTGACACATTTTGGTTCACTATTAAAGAACCATGTCACCCAGTGCAACAGTGAGGCTCATAGATGTGTTTTTAATAGTTTCTGTACAACAATGGAGCTCCATGGCACAGAGAAATAAGATATATGAAACTTTGGCGTAGCAGACAATACATGTTTGTAGACTCAATTCATGGTTGGTTTTGGTAATTTCATGAAAGAAACATTTAAAATATCACCAAGCTTATTATTTAATGTGACTGCCATACTGTGTGATTTAAAATCATATGCGAAGCTATGACGTTTAACTTTGTGAGTGCTTCCTGCTGTGTTGCACTGCAGAGTCTGATGACCAATATAGTGTGACCTCTCCAGGAAAGCCAGAACCTCAGTTCATTGAGGCGCCGACCAAACAGGCAGATCCTACGAGCGGTAAGACTGCCTCTGAAATTGCAATATTTTAGTGTACAATTACACCACCATTGTCATTTTGATCTTTAAAACACTGTCTAAAATAAATTATTACACATTTTTTTGTGACAGCTCAGGGCACAGACAACGAAGTGCGGAACTCCAAGCAAGGTATGACTTAACATCATGCTCTTTATTCAAACCCTCCTTACATATCGCGGTGAAAGAAATCAGGCCACTGGCTGACGTTTTAAAAGAATAAGCACCAGGAAACCGGATCAACTCCAACTGTAAACATCTGCATTGTTAGTGAAAGAATGTCCCATTAAAACAGAAGGCTCAGCCGCCAGGTGTCCGCTTCCTGCTTTAGTCAAAGCGAACTTCCTGTTCCAACAATCAGAGCCAAACAGTGTGTACATCCGTTAAGACTAAGAGAGCAACACGCTCCATTGTTTGATACTCATAAGGGAAACTCTTGTCCATTGTTCAGTAATTTTCTCCTAAGAACTCCCAACAGTTTAAATGTCATCTGTACTCAGACCTAACGGGAAGGAAAACACAATATCAGGCTTGTTTTTGCCCCTATAAGACAAAGACTAGCTACTAGCATGTACATATGAGTGTGAGTGTGTGTAGCGTGATAAGCTCTATGTTTCCTGGGATCTGATCATGGGGGTACTGATGACTATACAAGCCCTGCTTTAATCCTCTGACTCCTCTTTTTGTTTCCTGAGCTTGTCCTCTTGCTGTGTTTTTGCAGGTGTTCCAGAGCCGGCTGAAAGTGTAGGTAGAAACACACACATCACGCACACATCACGTACACATCACGTACACGGTGCATGCACATAGCACAAACAGGACAAACACACGCTCATGGATCTGTTGAGTCTTTGTTCAGAGACCGCTCACAGACAGACACAATAAACACAAACACTGTGGAGTTTTTATTGTTTGTAAACCGGTAACTGAAGGTATTAACATTCAATAACGCCTTATTTTTCTTGTTTGTACATTTCTGAAAATAAATAATAGGATAATAATCATTACGTAGGAAGTGCCATGCAATCTGGCACAAATCTATGTGTAATTATTGCACTTCATTAAACTGGAGTCTGTTAGTCAGTACACAGCGGGTCAACTAAACATGCAAAAAAAAATCTACAGGCAAACATACAGTTCAACATATATGAGGAATAAAGTTTCCTATAAAAGATGAATGATTATACATTTTTACTTGGGTTCCAAGGAGATTTCTTCAGGAATCAATATCTGCTCAACTAACCAAGCTAACCATTTCTCCAGGGGTGGCAATGTCGGTCCACCAATCGTCCAGACTGAAATATTTCACAAAACCTTTACCTGGAATGCCGTGAAATGTTGTACAAACTTTCATAGAGCCGGCAGCATGACTGTAGACTCTTGTTTCAGTATAATTTGTAACCGTTTTTCTACTAAACTTTCTAGAAAAAATTAGACAGGTTTTAGGAAATAACAGACTCGTAAAGTGAAGTGTTATCCAACGTTATGATGAGTTGTATATTTTGCTTTGTAACTATTGCCTATCTGCATATTCTCACTACTTTGATAACTTCTGTTTGAGACAAATGAGTTGACGTCATGGTATAAATCACAGATAGCTAGTTACAAGCAGTCTGTCTGTGCTGCTGATTGATTGAGTCATGGATGTCACACAGTAATCTGTTCCTTCACACAAGCCTCATATTTCTCTTTTTTTGCCCCCTTCTCAGCAGGGGTCCGTGGAGTATGCACAGCTTAATCGTGATGTGGCTCACCACAGTAACCATGGTGACCACAGTGTCCAGGATGACTACAGTGTCCAGGATGACCACATGACAGACAGCAGTGTGGCCAACAACACTGCTGACCATGGGGAATGAAAACATGACCCAGCTCCAGTACCCAACAACAAGAATATTTATTCCCTTATTTATCCGGCTCGTTAATGCAGCTGGACCTTAAACAGCCCTAAGCAATAATGTACTTTTTTGTATTTTTTTTAACGCTTTGCAAGAAACATCCTACACTGAAAATCCACTTGCTTCACCTTTGCAGGGCCAATAAAAATGTTTTTGTTAAGTGAATTGTTTTTCTTTCCTTCATTGGTTGTTTAGTTGCCAAGACACACAGAGAGGATGTGTTGTGATCCCAAAGGAAAAGACATTCAAGTGTGTATCCTTCCACTGATGGCAGCGGTGACAGAATGTGAATGGGAAGAGAGGTCTTTGAAGTGAGCAGAGTAGTGATGTTGACTCTTCAGTGAGGAGGTTGGGAGTGCGTTCATCAGCCCGCTCTGCTGTGTGTGATCAGTGCGTCCTGTTTGAACCACTAGAGGACAGACTTCAGGCAGCGCCGCATGGAAACTTAGTGCCATCTGGCTGTGATCTCTCTTACTGTAAGAAGGGCTTTCACTGTGTTGTCAGGAGATATCAGTTTCATTTTCCGTTATCTAACGTTTAATTGAATGACATAACATGAGTTATTCAATGTATCCACACACCAGTATGTAAATCTCTTGTTGAGATGAACATATGGTATATTAATGATCCACTACACTCCAGGAAGCTCTTAGCTCAGAATATAATGTAACCATAGACTGCGTGTTGTATCTTAGAATGTGTTGGAAAAGACTGCAACTAACAATTACTTTTTTATGGCTTAAGTCTTGATTACTTTTTGGGATTATGTCAGTGTCTGAAAATAGTTTTTAAAAAATGCAACAATGTCACAATTTCCCAAAGCCCAGGGTGACTTCAAATAGATTAATCCAGACTCAAAGATATTAAATGTGATTGATACAAAACAGATAAAAGCAGCAAAGTCTCAGATTTAAGAATATATGTATATTTGTCGTACTGTTGTAGGAAAAGCTGAGGTCAATTAGGGTTGCATTCTAGTATTTAAATTTTATCATACTTTTCAGAGGCAAATATTGTACTTTTTACTCCACTACATTTATCTGACACCTTGAAGTTACTAGTTACTTAACAAATTCATATTTTACAAACAAAACGTGTAATCACTTTATTAAATATGATGCTGTGCTGTAGAATACCCATGTAAATAAGCACAAAATAGTTACATTTGTGGTCCATCGGATGTAACATTGCGAAAAACGTGAAAGGCCCCATCTACAGCCAGTGGTTAGTTTGTCCATTCTGAGCTACGAGAAAGATGACAGTTCAACATGGTGGAGTCTATGGAAGGTGACCCACGGTGTCTGTAGATAAAATGGTTCATTCACAAGGTAACAAAAACATTAAACAATTCCTTTATTCAGGTAATTATACACTAATGTATATTATATTCAATTTCTGGCAATAGTTCCTCCTTAATGTAACACACTGGACCTTTAAAGTAAATTGTGATTTTGAGTATTTTTACTGAGCAGTAAGTTTCACTACTTCTACTGATTTACAAGATATGTAGAGTTCTTCCACCACTGCCTGAAGCTGAAGCAGCTAAATGGTTATCATTCATTTTATTATATACACCTGTGCTTTTCCTGACATATAAAAATGTCTTCCATAAAAAGGCCCATTAGCCATACGCAGCTAGGAAAATAAAGATTTCTACTATAACTGTAGGTTATAAGGTTTTCACCTGCCAGCAGGTGTAAGGTGAGACAGTTACAAAGGTTGTGCACTAGACCTGAATTTTAGGAGCACCCAATGGGTTCAGCTAGTTCATGGCAACCGCTGTCAACAGTCTGGATTATGAGGATCTGCATTTTGTCAGGAAGCTCTTATGAACACTGAACAGCAGATCATATCCATGTGGGAGTCCTGACACCTGACACCAGAGCTAACACCAACAGCCTGCCACCAACTCACACACTTTCATCTCCATTCTTAGAACAGACGAACATATAGGCCGATCTATGCAGGAGATGAAGTGTTTGTCTTCATTATCTGCCTGCCTGGAGTGTGTCTATGTGCTCATGTATGTGTGTCAGACTCACAGAAGTGTCTGATCTCCTCCACCACTCTAAACTTTGTTCATCGCTGCTGTAGTGCAAAGGCTTTATGAATGTGTGCACAGTATGTGTGCACAGTATGTGGCACCAGGGTGTGGTACAATATTTCCAGAGTTTGCACCATTCCCTCAGGTCCCCCAGAGCTCTCATATGCAGATTGATATGGCCTCTGTGAGGTCCTCAGAGGCATCTGTGAATGGATACAGCTTCAGCTCTGAGGTGCCAAAATGAAAACTCACTCTTGCTCTGACGATAGGGCTGCCTCAGTCAACTCATGGTTTATTAATCATATTACTTAACCAGGAGTCTGGACTTGACAGGAGGGAACAGCATATTCTGAGACACCCAGGAACTGATACTGTGTTACATCAGGAGTGTAAGTTATACAGTATCAGAGTTGTTAGTAATAGCCGGTTGCAGTATAATTAAACAGTGGGCAGAAATAGGCACAGCCTGATCGGTTTTATTTGTGGATGCATTTGACCAAAAGGCAAAACCGAAACATCATGTAATTTTAACCAGTGTGTTCGCAAGGGCTGCTCAAGTGCTTTGAGTGCATTCTCATTTCAGACACGGTACGCTTTCCCCAAGGATGGTGCTGCTCTGCCTTCAAATCATAAACTGTCTGTCAGGGGGAAAGATGGTGGATTTACTACTGTTCCCAAAGCTACAGCGGGTGTGTCATGTGCCCTCACAGACCTTTTGAGATTCTTATTACAAGTAGGCACCCACCACCAACCCCAAAGAGTAAGACAGTCACATGATCAATGCTTATGGTGCCAATAGTGTGGTAACCAAGGAAAGGGGCTGGGTTATGTGCATACATATGGTGTCAGATCAGTCCTCTGTCCCTCTTTATTACTGCACGTACACTGGTCATGTCTCCGCCACGTAACCTGATCCATCCCCTCCTGTATCTGGAGCACAACTCCTCAACTGCCATTGGCTGCTGAGCTAAAATTAGCATATTGACCCCTGTGAAATGCATTCTGGGAATATCCCATCTTTGACTTGGCCTTATGGGGCAAGCGCTGTTTGCAGTCTTCAGATGCAGCAATGAGATCATCAAGTAGACATCATCTTTCTTGTTCCTGCAAAAGAACATTAATGTTCTCAGCCACCATGTAATAATCCTAAATCTGTGTGCTTATATATTTGCACTTCACATTATAATCATTTTACATTACTTTATTTAATTCCTCAAATTCTATATATTTCTTTCCTCATTCAGTATATTATGCACTTATGATAATACTCATGTAATAATGCATTTTTGTATTGTTGCAGTAATGGGAGTAAATGTTAGGATGGTACTGGTATATAGGGCTTTGTTCATGAAGAATAGACACATAACTAAAAATATATTCACTATCTGCATCAAGTGATTCGATGTTACTCAAATCAGCTTATGCAACAATATTAATCCCCTAACTCCCTGATATTTGTAAATGGAGAAAAATAACAAATGAGTTGAGAAGTTTCCAATTCAGTGTTTTATTACAAGCATTTTTATTTATATTCAATAACAGTATAATGGGTATATTTGAGGTGGTTATATAACCCAACAAGATACATAGTGTATTTATTTCCATAGCTACAATAATCAGTTATCCAATCATACATAATGAAACAAGACGAGCAAGACTCTGCACAGATAAGTAGTGACATAAACCCAGTCAACCCTTTGGTGCCTAAAATGACCTCATTACACAGCCAACCAGCATTCATTCTTTCGAATATTCACAATTTATTGGAGAATATTTGTTATAATGCAAACTATGACCTTGATTTAATATCAAGCCTTCCGACAGACTTACAATAAAAATTAATTGGGAATCCATGGAGTTATTTATCAAATGGATGGCATTTTATGACCCATTTGTCTTCATACATACCACTCACTGGTATGGGGCTCATTAAAGAGTCGTGCTGAGACATTATGGATGAGTACCTGCAGTAGTGCACAGTCAAAGTTTGTGTCTGAAACCTATTCAATAATACTAGTATTTCTATTACTGTAGAACAGTATTTATATAACATAGATGTTTATATATTGTGTTTGACATCCCTGGTGGCAAATGTTGGAAGTAAACATAAAATGTGTGTTTGTGTTGTAATACCTATTCTGAACATCTTAAATCTTGCCCCTGACAAATGAAATACAAATAACTAAACTAAAACAAAACATTTTTTAACAATAAAAACTAAACTGAAACGAACAAACTCGCTCCGGAAACTAAACTGAATTGAAAACAAATAAAAACTAATGAAAAATACTAAACTATAATAACTCTGCAGTGCAGTATATTTTTTATTCTTGTCATTGACACTGTGCTGTAAAATGACTGCAGGCTAAAGGCAGCGCAGGCATGGGATTGTGTGAAAGTGTGCTACTCTGCTGTCCTTCATTTGCAGAGTAAAGGTTAGATTTAGTAAGTCCACCTGTTCGATGTCCTCCATCTTTCATTGCTTAAGCTCTCGTAGATCCAGGAAATTAATTCATCGTAACCTTGTGCAACCTGGTCAGGGCACACAGCGGGCAGCGAATGAGGAGGAGGAGGTTCACGCTTCGCTCTTCACTGACCGCTGGCCATTTCCGGAGTGAAACACATGCCCTCATTGTGCAATCAGGCATCAAAAAATTAGGCTCACTATGCACAACTTTTAACCCCTGGCCTCCTTTTCCATGGATGCAGGCTTCGGCTAAGGTAACCCTATCCTAGCATAAACAGTCAGCCAGCCTTGGTGCTGGTCCCACTCCCCTCCGTGCTAAGTCTGAGCCCTCTTTCTCTCACTGTGTCCCGGACAGCTGCAGCTCCTGTTTACTGCCGTTACCTCTTTGCAGGGCATCGTTCTTTATACTTTGTCATTGTCAGCATCTGTGTCTCTCAATGGGACAGCAGCTTTTTTCTCCCTCTTCTTCAATTGGGGCACTGGATGGCATAGGAATAACTATTCGAAACAGAATAAAATCTGTAAACCTTCTCATGGGACTATTTATTCAAAGCTGTACTGGAGGCCTTTTCATTTTGGGCAACACGGATCACTGAAAACTAACAGACTGTTAAGTGTTTATGAGGAGATATGTAAAGTCTAGAGGTGCCCGGG